AGGAACGGAGTTCCGGCTGGCTCCTGAGTTGGCCACGCCCAGCAGGAACTCATTAGCATAATAGGCCACACCTAACAGCAGACACTTATTAGGATTGGCTACATTAGGGGTGTGTGGCCTAACATGCAAAGGAGTTCCTGCTACAAAAAAAGGCCCTGGGTTTTGACCACAAAGGTCAACAGAATAAGAAGGGGACGGTGGGTGTGGCTGGATGACCACACTTCTGGTAACATTTTGGGGTGTGGCCTAATATGCTAATGAGCTGTGCTGTCAGGGGTGCAACCTAATATGCTAATTGGTCTCTGCTGTTGGGTGTGGCCTATTATGCTAATGAGTTCCTGCTGGGCTTTTTCTACAAAAAAAAAAAGCCCTGGTAATTGTTACGCATTTGGCAGGTTCTCAGGTCTGTGCAAGAGGCCCTTGATTTCTACCGGAAACCCTGGGCCTGCTTTTCAGAGAGGCAAAAGATGCAGCTCTTGGCAAGGGAGGACGGAGGCACGCTGTTGTTGCTCGCGACGTCTTGCCATATCAAGAATGGCAACTTAAGCCCTGACCCGGACAGCCGATCCCGTCAGATCTCGGAAGCTAAGCGGAGTCAGCCTCGGCTAGTATTTGGATGGCCGACCTCCAAGGAATACCAGGGTCGTGACACAGAGGCAGGCAAGAGGAAGCCACCTCTGAAAAGCCTCTCGCCTTCAAAAGCAAGTCTACCTCGCCACCTAGATGCATAAACGCGAAGAGTGAGAGTATCTGGCCGCCAGACCATCTTAGGCTCTCCTGGCTATTTTAAACACAATGCTGTATTAGAATGGCTTAACGGCATCTCTTAAAAATTCTTCTAAATACATGACACTCGCTAGATTGCCCCATTAAATTGTTGTCTAAAAGGGCCGTTGCCAAGCCCTCTCAAGCATCGGTCCAGAGAAATGAAGTAAGCGATTTCGGGGAAGGGGGGAAACTTGGGTCTACCCAGAGTGGGGAAAGCAGACAGAACCCCAGACGGCTCCAATCACCTCTGCTTCCACCAGCCACCCCCACAAATCCCATCCCAGTGCCTGACTGGAAGGCTAGCCCAATCTCGGAAGCTGAGCAGGGTCGGCCCCTGGTCAGTGTTTGGATCGGAGGAAGTAATCCCAGGGTCGCTGTGCCGAGGCAGGCAGGGGCAAACCACCGTCTGGTGCCCTGAAAACCCTTTGGGGCCACTGTAAGTTGGCTACAATGTGCCAGCACTTTCCTCCAGCCCCAGGAACGGAGGCAAAGGGGAGGGGAAGCGAAAGAGCTCTTTGTATCACACACTGTACGCACACCACAGCTAGGAGCTAGGGGAGGGGGGTCATAAGAACATGAGAGATGCCAATGTTGGATCCAGGCCAAAGGCCCCTCCAGTCCAACACTCTGTATCACACAGTGGCCAGAAATACCAGGTGCCATCAGGAGGTCCACCAGTGGGGCCAGGACATTAGAAGCCCTCCCACTGTTGACCCCCCCCCAAGCACCAAGAAGACAAGAGCATCACTTGCCCCAGAGCCCCTATCTATACCTTGAGGCTAATAGCCACACCGGGCCGTCTCAGAAAGCAGGTTGGTTTATTTGAAGCAATATGTTTTGGATATTTGTAATGCTCTACCTGATGGTTGATAAAAATTGTAGGGTAGTTTTGACTCTTGAAGTGGGCCTTGTAGGGGAAAAAATAAAAGTAACTGGCTAATTACCTAGAGAAGGTGCAATGACCCTAAGTGTTTTGAGAGAAAAGAGGGATCTATATAGAGTGAGGTGAAAGTATATTGGCATTGTAGAGAGCTGAGGTTATGGAGAAAATATAAATTATTACGTTCAGGTTTGTAAACGGTGATTTCGAAAGCTAACAATACTTGTTGAAATTTTGAAAGAATATCTTAAGGGATTTTGAAAACTAGCAATACTTGTTGAACTTTTGAAAGAATATCTTAAGGGGACTAGATTGATATTATATAAGAAATTGGAACTGTCTATATACCTGTGTGTTTTTTGTTCAGTTTTTTTTTTTTCTTTCATATTTTTACTGTTATAAAATTGATTAATAACAATAAGAGCAGGTAGGATATAGAAAAAGTGAATTGTTTATTGGGAACAGAATTTTACTTAATGTCATCTGTTGTGAACTATGGATTAACAAAGGGAAAAAGGGAATGACATCTCTAAAGATGCTATGAACGATGTAATGGCTGGATACCTTTGTAGTGTATGGCTCTCTTTTTTTTTTGTATAACTCTTTAAAATGTATGGCTCTTTCTGTTGTTTTGTTTTGTGTAATCCTTAAAAACTAATAAACTTTGCCCATTTGGCCAAGTATTTAAAAAAAGAAAGAAAGCCTTTGGGCACCTCATCTGGCTCCCAAGTGAATTCAGAAAGGGGAGGGGCCATGTGGGGCGCTTGGGAAGGAGGGCTTCTGACCGGCTGTGTGGGATAAAATTGCACTGATGCCGCTGCCAATGCACGGTTGGCTTTATTCCCTCTCACTCCTCAGTTCCAGGGTATCTTTGAAATCGCCCCTCTTCTCCTCTGCGTGGTTGACTCCTCCTCCAACAGCAGCCGTTTTGTGGCCACACCCACCACCCTGTGTCCGAATTCCAAAGGTACCCACAGGCTTGGAAAGTTTGGGGGCCAGTGTTCCCTCTCAGCTGAGCTAGTGTGAGCTAGCGCACGGTTTTCTAGCCTCCAGCTCACACATTTTTGTCTTCGCTCAGGAAGGATGGGGCTCCAGAGCAAACTAATCTGTGCAGTAGCCAAGTCGCTCGCTCACAACTTTCATGCCAGTAGCTCCCAAAGGAGAACTTTTGCTCATAACACTCCACAGCTTAGAAGAGACTGGATTGATACCCCGCCCTTCACTACCCAAAGGTGTCTCAGAGCGGCTGACAAACTCCTTTCCCTTCCCCTCCCCACAACAGACACCCTGTGAGGCGGGGCTGAGAGAGCTCTTGACAGAAAAACTGCTCTTTTTTCAAGAACAACTCTTATCAGAGCTACAGCTTGCCCAAGGCCATCCAGCCAGGTCCAAGTGGAGGAGTGGGGAAAACCCGGTTCTCCCAGATTAGAGTCCGCGCACTTAACCACGACACCAAACTGCTTAGAGGGAGCATTGATTGGGAACCCGTAGTGTTTTGTGCAGAGGCAAGGATGTGCCTTTCAGGACAGAGGAAAGCAGGAAGACCAGAGAGTCCCACCACTGCCAAGGAAGGAAAGAACTTATAGGGGTGTGTGTGTGTGGCGGTGGGGGGGTCCCTTTGCAAAGCAACAAGCCATTAAAGAGAAACTTCTCCCTCCACCATTATCTCAGTGCCCCGAGAACAAACGTGCGCAGGCTCAACATTCCAGTCCTCTTCCTTGGTTTTTTGTTTTTGTTTTTTTTTATTGTAAGTGCCACAAACAGGCCCGTCAAGAGCGCGCTGGGCAGATCAGTAAAAAAAGAGAAAGAGTCAACCACAAAAAAAACAACGGACAGACAATTCTGCAAAAATAAATTACAATCAGTTCTCCCCCCCCCCTTTCCTTCCCTCCCTCCCCACCCAGCTTTGTGGGCAAGTCCAGGAGCAGATCCTCTGTAAGGCAGCAAGGGTGGCGGAAGGGCCATTCTGCAGGCCAGGAGCCGGAGCCGCCCCGGGCTGGGCCCGAGCCCATCGTTCAAACTGGCCGTTCGCGGTCTCTCCTGCAGACCGGGCGGCTGGCCGGCGATCCGCCAGCCGCCTCTCTCTCTGGCCAGGCGAGGGCCGTGGGAGGCGGAGCTGCGGCGAGCGCTCACCTACGGGCCCCGCCTACCGCGCGGCCATGTTCCCAGTCCCGGGCAAGTAGCTGTGACCCCCGACTTTCGGGGGGCAGTTTATGGTTTGGCGCCTTGGTGCTTAGCCTGAGTTCTCTGCCGACACCTCTAGCCGGGGGGGCTGCTGCCGCTGCGCTGTGGCCTCCGGCCCGGCCTCCTCTTCTTCCATCGCCATCTCCTGGGACAAAGGCGGCAGGCAGCTCTGCCCGCCGTTACCCTCCTCCATCGGCACCGGCTCCAGCAGGCCGTTCAGCTCCATGTCGTGGATCTCGACGTCGTACGGTGGGGTGACTTTGGAGGTGGGGTTGCTGCCGCACTCCACGCAGGCCTGGGGGGGGGTGGAGAGAGAAGGGGAGACGCATTGAGCGGCTTGGTTCCTGCCTCGGAGCTGGGTGCCGACACTTTGGGTGTCGGGGATTTGGGATCTGGCTCGGTCTCTCGTTCAGGACTTTGCTGTGTGTGCAACCCGGAGAGCCAGGGCTTGCCACTGGATAACAGACGGGAGGCCACTTAGACCAAGGTGTCATAATGCGCACACACGACTCCCTTTTCTCTAAGCACCTGCTAGCCCTCACGTCCAGAGCTTTATACTGAGGCCCATCCGTCAGTGGGAGGGAAGGAGAAGGTGATGGGAGGGCTTATCTTACTTCTCATCTCTGCCTACCATCTGTGGCATTCTTTCTAGCCTTCCCTTTCCCTTCAGATGCCTGATCGATGCCAGTTTCTTTTGTCCCTCCGAGCTCCTGGTATCTCAGCTGCCATCTTTCCCATTCTTTCCGCTCGTCACAGATTCATGTGCGGCTGTTTGGCTGAAAATGAACTTAACATCGGCACTCTCCAGTCTTTAACCGAGTGTGGACTGTAAGAAATTTTAAAACTATAACCAATATGAATTTTCTTGTTGGTTTTCTTTTTTTCTCTTTTTTGGTATTTTTCATATGTGCATGTGCGTGTGTGAGTGTGTATGTGCACCTGGAAATCACAGCGACCACCAATCACAGAATAGGGGGCGGGGGGGGGGGGGGGGGGGGTATTAAGAGTCCAGGAGCTTTTCTTAGGAATCCCATCTGCACCTGACTTGATGGGGTTTTTTTTTTAAGCTGGCAGGTCCCCACAGTTTGAGAGGGAGAGAGAGATGGGTGGGGGTGGGAGTCCTAGGAATAGCTCCTGGACTCTCCGTTCCCCTACCACAGGAGACCCCCCGATGTGGCACCCACCAACGCCTTTCCTGACACACACACCCAAAGTGTGTTTAGAAAGGAGGCAGGGCCAGGTGGGTCTTCTGCAAAGCAGGGCTTCTGATTGGCTGTGCAGATTTTATAAAAATGCACCTTGGGCAGCAGCTGCCACCGTGGCACAAGGAACATCCCTGCGTGGCTGAAGTTCAGCTGCGGCAGCCATTTTGTGCCTGGCTCCGCCTCCCGGGGCAGCCATCCTGTGCTCCGCCTCCCGGGGCGGCCATGTTGTGGCCCACTGCCCTGCATCAGAATTCCAAGGGGGCTTGCAGGCTCAACAAGGTCGGGGGACCCCTGCCTTATGAGGACCGGGCTGAGGGGCGCACAACCAGCAGGCGGTGTCTCCCCCCCCCCCGGTCCCTCTGCTGCGTCCCACCACCCCGGCCCCTGTCGGGCAGCGCACTCTCACCGTGAGGTTGATGGCTTTGGGCAGGCCCCCCTTCTGCACCCAGGAGTGCACCTCGGCCAGCTCCTTCTTCTGCTCCTCCGTGAACCGGGGCTGCCGCTTCTGCATCTGCTTCAGCTTCTCACGGTCCTCCTGCAGCACCGTCTCCAGGAGGAGCTGTGGCTGACGGAATGAAGACACCCTGGCCGGGTCGGAGGAGGTGGAGAAAGGGGTCGCCGGATGTTTCTGTTTGAAGGAGCGTCATGCTCTGGGTCTACCCAGGCCTCTGGAGAGGGAACGCCGGGGCGTTCTTATGGGCTTTGGATGCGATGCCAGCAAAGGAAGTTTGGCTTCAAGGCTCCACTGTGAAGCACACAGTCTCTGGCGTATTGGTTAAGAGCGCGGACTCTTGTCTGGGAGAACCGGGTTTGATTCCCCACTCCTCCACTTGCAGCTGCTGGTGTGACCTTGGGTCAGTTACAAGTCCTTTCAGAGCTGTTCTCTCAAGGGCAGTTCTGTCAAGAGCTCTCTCAGCCCCACCTACCTCACAGGGTGTCTGTTGTGGGGAGGGGAAGGGAAAGGAGTTTGCAAGCTGCTCTGAGACTCCGAGTGAAGGGCGGGGTATAACTCCAATCTCCTCCTCCTGAGCAAAAGAATCAATAGGACTCAAATCTGACATAAAAATGGCACCAGTTGGCCACTGGTGGGAGAAACTTTCAGCCACATTTGCTGCCGACTCCAAAGTCAGCAAATTTCACCAAAAAGGGGACACCGGTGTGAAGAAGAAGAGGAGGAGATTGGTTTTGTACCCCGCCCTTCGCTACCCAAAGGTGTCTCAGAGCGGATTATAAACTCCTTTCCCTTCCCACAACACACATCCTGTGAGGTCGGTGGGGCGGAGAGAGCTCTTGACAGAAACTGCTCTTTTTCAAGGACAGCTCTTATCAGAACTACGGCTTGCCCAAGGTCATCCAGCAGGTGCAAGTGGAGGAGTGGGGAATCAAACTCGGTCCTCCCAGATTAGGTTTACAATCTCCTTTCCCTTTCCCTTCCCCTCCCCACAACAGACACCCTGTGACTGCAATGTTCCCTCTAAGCTCTGGAATCTTGTGAGCAAAAATTCTACTTTCTGAGCTACTGGCATTGAAATTGTCAGCGAGTGATTTGGCCACTACATAAACTAGTTTGCCCTGGAGCCATCCTTCCTGAGCTAAGACAAAAATGTGTGAGCCGGAGGCTAAAAAACTGTGAGCTGGCTCACACTAACTCAGCTTAGAGGGAACACTGTGAGGTAGGCGGGGCCGAGAGAGCTCTCTCTCGAGGACTGCCCTTGAGAAGAAAACAGCTCTGGGGGAACTTGTGACTGACCCAAGGTCACACCAGCCAGGTGCAAGTGGAGGAGTGGGGGAATCAAACCCGGTTCTCCCAGATCAGAGTCCGCGCACTTCACCACGACGCCAAACTGGCTCTCTATTGAATTGTGAAACGATTGAATCAGAACAGCTCGGTTCAAGCCCGGTGGCACCTTAGAGACCCCGCAAGATTGCTAGAGGATGAGCCTAGACGCTTGCTACCCCCGACCACCTTTTTGGCCCCTAGGACCTAGCTTTCCCATTCACACGAGAGCACCAGAAAGAGCTCTGGGGCACAAACCTTGGCTGGGACCGATGCGTGCCTGGGGAGGGGCCGGCCAGCACGTTTATGCGCCGGGGGAGGGGGGGGAACACTACCAATGTTCCCTCTAAGCCGTGGCGTCTTGTGAGCAAAAATTCTACTCTGTGAGCTGCTCGCATGAAAGTTGTGAGCAAGCGATTGGGCTCCTGCATAAGTTAGTTTGCTCTGGAGCCCCATCCCTTCCTGAGCAAAGACAAAAATGTGTGAGCTGGAGGCTAAAAAACAGTGAGCCGGCTCACACTAACTCAGCTTAGAGGGAACACTGGACACTACTGGTCCTGGGTAGCCACACCCCGTCCCGAGTCACCTGACCAGGTGGGAGTTGAGGGTCTGGAGTTCCAGGGCGGCCTGGAGGGGGTTTCCCCATGAGTGCGGAAGACGCTCCCTCTCTCCCCGTCCGCCTGGCCCGGCCCCCCTCACCTGGGGGGCAGCTGGTAGGTCATCATGACCTTCTCGTCTGTGTTGGCCATCAGCAGCCAGATGGGGTCCTGCAGGACGTACTTCATGAAGTGCTCGTTGTCCTCGGCCTCGGCCCGCTTCTTGCCCCGGAGGTCGTTCTCCGAGGAGTCGATGCTGCCAAAGTACTTGCTGGTGTGGCTGCTCTTGCTGCTGGCTACAAGGGTCGCACGGAGGGGGGGGGAGAGAATCGAGACGCCCGTGAGACCAAGGAGGCACCGGCTCAGTCCCGCCTGCGCAGTCTCCCCAGTTAAACAAAAAGCAGGGGGCTCTCTCTTGCAAAAAGAAGAGGGTCTTCCGCTCCACCGAGAGCCCCAGGCCGACGAGGGCAGGCCCAGGGAATTCTGGGCATCTTCAATGTCCCCCCTAAGCTGAGGAGTCTTGTGAGCAGACATTCTACTTTGTGAGCTACGGGCATGAAAGTGGCGAGCGAGCGATTTGGCTGCTGCGTAAATTAGTTTGCTCCGGAGCCACACCCTTCCCGAGCTCAGACAAAAATGTGTGAGCAGGAGGCGAAAAGACTGGGAGCTGGCTCACACGGACTCAGCTTAGAGGGAACACTGACTTCCACCCTATCAGCGCGGCAATTCTGGTCATTTGAACAATGGGCCTACAACGTGCCTCCTGGATTTTGTTTGGGCAGCTCCCACCCCCCGGGCCAGTTCTTATATCCTGAACCCGACACAGCCAGCCCTCCCTGGGACCCCCGAGTGACCCATGGGGCAGGGAGAGAGTGGAAATCGCACCCCAGCCCCTCCAGCCAGCCCTCCCTGGGACCCACGAGTGACCCACGGGGAAGGGGGGAGTGGAAATCGCACCCCAGCCCCTCCAGCCAGCCCTCCCTGGGACCCACGAGTGACCCACGGGGAAGGGGGGAGTGGAAATCGCACCCCAGCCCCTCCAGTGCCGACCCTGCTACGGCCATTCAGAAATGGAACCCGGTTAGCGGGGCGAGCCCACTCGCTCTCCTCAGGATCAATGTGGGGTCAGGACTTACTCGTGCCACTGGCAGATGTGCTGCCCCCGTTGGATCCGGAGCCCATCGAGCCCGAGGCGGCAGAGCCGCTGCCAGAAGCCGCCGACCCCGTGCCGGAGCGAGAGTCCTCCTGCAGCAGCAGGTCCAGGAGGTCGCTGGAGCTGGACAGGGCGTCGTTGTTGGAGGAGTCGTGCGCCTCCACCTGCAGGGGGGATAGAGGAAGGGCGCAGAGGCGGTGAGAGCGGGTCCCGGGTAGGGGGCGACGGCTCGGCAGGGACAAACGGTTCGCGAGCCCCTCGCAGGCACAAGCATCTCTTTCCAAGGACTGGTAAAAAGTCCAGTAATAACCCAAAAGCAAACTGCAACACAAAGCAATAAATTCTGTATATTCTATTTTTGTGTATCCTATTTTTACACAGCAAGAGAGTTAATGTGCATAAACAATATATATAAACACAAATAATATAAGCTTACAGTCCAATCTATATATAAAGCCTCAGGTTTATACAAGGTTCTCAACTCAAACAGTTTTGTGTGCATACACACACACATATACACATATAAAGGGGCTTTATATATAGATTGGACTACAAGTTTATATTATTAATTATTCATGCACACTAAGTACGTTGTTATGTCAAAACAGGGTACACAAAAATAGACTATACAGAATGTATTTAATGTCTGGCGTTTGTGGTTTGCTTTTGGATTACTGTTCTTTTCGCCGCAGTTTCTCCTTTGGGTTCCTTGCCCTAAGTCTGGGGAGCTAAGCAGGGCTGGCCCCGGTTAGTTCTTGGACGGGAGACCTCCCAGGAAGCCCAGGGCTGCGCTGTGGAAGCAGGCCATGACAAACCACCTCCGAAGGCCTCTCGCCTCGAAAACCCGACAGGGTCGGCCAGAGGCTTGCTGTGACTTGACAGCGCTTTTCACCACTACTAAGTCGCGGACGGCCGACATGAGCAAGGGGTGGTCTGTATCCTTGGTTCTTGGGGGGGGGGGGGGCAGCAGTGGGAGGGCTTCTAGCCCCACCGCTGGACCTCCTGATGGCACCTGGTCTTTTTTGGCCACTGTGTGACACAGAGTGTTGGACTGGGTGGGCCATTGGCCTGATCCAGCATTGGCTTCTCTTGTGTTCTTATGACAAGCTGTCTGCTGGTGTTTGCCTGCTGCAAAACCTGAACTCATTTATTGACTCCATTTATATCCTATTTTTCGTCCCCGACGGGGAACCAAAGCAGCTCACATTGTCTTCACAAAAGCCCTGTGAGGTGGGTTTGGCTGAGAGTGTGTGACTGGCCCTGGCCTGATCCAACACTGGCTTCTCTTATGTCCTTATGACACGGCGCTGCTTCTTAGCCTACGACACAACCAATGCTCCCTCTAAGCTGTGGAGTCTTGTGAGCAAAAATTCAACTTTGTGAGCTACTGGCATTCAAGTTGCGGGCGAGCGATTTGGCTACTGCATAAATTAGTTTACTCCAGAGCCATCCTTCCTGGACGAAGACAAAGATGTGTGAGCCGAAGGCTAAAAAAATGGTGAGCTAGCTCACACTAGCTCGGCTTAGGGGGAACACTGGACACAACAGATCCAGGGAGGTCTTGGAGCAGGCGTCGCCATGACGGCCTGTCCCCGTCCAAAGAGGGGATTTCTTCTCAAGGAAATCGGGGGAGGGGGGGGCTCTCCACCGCTAGCAGAGGAAGAAGCGGGCTGTCCCCAGGAGGACTCGAGGACTCAGGCGGCAGCAGAGGCAGGACTTACCATGCACGTTTCCTTCTGCGCGTTGAGCCCCCCCGCCAGGCCTTGCCCATTGGAGACGCCGGCCCAGTCGCTGGCGGTCCCAGTCGGCCCCGCTTGGCTGCCGCCGCCGGCTTCAGGGCGGTCGCAGGCCTTGGGCATCTCTTCCATCTGCAGCAGGTTGAGCTGCAGCGGGGAGCTGCAGCGGGACTCGAAGAGCGGGGACTCGGCACGCTCGGGCTGGCTCATGGAGTGCGGGGTGGAGGACCGCGACGGCGCCTGGGTGCCCGTCTCGGGCCCGGGTGTTGGGGTGCCGCCCGGCTGAGGGCCGAAGGGGAAGGCGGGCCCGCCGGGGAAGAAAGACTGGCCCATGGCGCTGTTCATCGGGGGGAAGACGTAGTTCGGCAGGACCAAGGCCACCATGGGGGTGAGCAAAGGCGTGGGGTACTGAGCGGCGGAGAGCGTGTTCGGGGAGGGCTCCGTGCAGGGGGAGGCGCCGGGTCGAGGGGGGAAGACGGGGATGGGGTAGGTGGGCATGACGGCCGGGTAGGGCATGGCGGGCAGGCTGGCTTGGGAGTTGCCCGAGGGAGGCCAGGGGGAAGGGGCCGGGGCTCCTGGAGCCTGCGGCGGCCCGGTTGAGTCCTGCGGGGAGCTGGTGCTGTCCGACGACCTGTTCTGCTTGACGCGCTTGGCCTTCGACTTCCTGCTCCGGCCGCGGCAGCCCGGACCGCGGGGCCCCTGGCGCGGGCCTTTGTGCCCTGAGGAAACGGGAAGGAAGCGGTGAGGGAAGGCCCCCCTTCTCCCGACAGACAGACAGACAGGCAAGGCGGAACCTCCCGCCCTCCTCCCGGAGCCCTCCTCCCCGGCGTACCTCGCTCGGCCTGGGGCCCGGCCTGCCGCAGCTCCTGCCAGCCGATCCCTGAGGGGGAGTTGAAGACGTGCAGCTGGCTGAGGTCCTTGAAGCGCGTGAGGAAGGTCTGCTCCTCCTTCTGGGTGTGGACGGAGAGCACCTCCTTGGTCAGCCCCACCTTGCGGTACTGCTGCTCCCGGTCCGGGGTGGCGCTGGGAGGCGGGGCCGAAGGGGTGGCGCTGGGGGCCGCCTCTTCCATCATCACGATGTCTGCGGGGGGAGAGAGGGAAAGAAAAAGAACAGAGGCGGATTAACTCACGCGGGCACCTTTTCTCCCGACATCTTCCCCAGCGCTCCCTCCCTCACAACAGGCCTCATTCCAGACCACCGCCCCGCCGAACTCAGAGGACGCCTCCCCCAGTGCATGCTGGGAATCGGCCAGCCTGGCTTCTGAACCCATCCCCTGCGGCTGGCTGGCTGCGTTAACAGGGTCTCGGGCAAGGGAGGCAATCGCTGATGAAACGGAACTGGCCTGCAGGAGCCACCGGGAATGGCCCAGGGCACGGACGCGGGGGGGGGGCAGCACGGTGGTGGTGGTGGGGAAATCACACCATACGGCGGGAGGGAAGGAGACTGAACGCCCGCTTTGCGTTGACGCTTTCTTGGGTTTCAGCCGTATGCGGCTGAACGCTGGATAAGTTCAAGTCCTTGCAAGACCTTTCAGTATCGTTACGGAGGAAGGGGCTGCACTGGTGGTGCACAGTGGTCTTCCGAGGAGTGGACCCGGGTTCAATTCCTGGCCAACGGGTAACTCGTTGCCCTGACCTGGAAAGGGCCCGGCCCAGGCCATCAGTCTCATCATTTATTTATTTATTTATAAGTTCAATTTATACCCCGCCCTCCCCACTACGCGGGCTCAGGGCAGCTTACAAGGAGGCATAAGTCAATATAAAACATATTTAAAACCATTTAAAATCAGATGTCGGGAGCTAAGCAGGGCCGGCCCTGGTTAGTTTTAGGGTGGGAGACCACCGAGGGAGTCCCGGCGTTCTGAATGCCAGCTGGTCCAACGCGGCCGGGCTTGCGCCACACTGCACCCAGAAAAGGCGCCTGTTTTTTAGGGCTCCCCGTTCCTTCCATCCCCATCCCCAAAGGGGAACTCTGTCTGTCCAAATCCTCATCGAGGATTCCAGGAGTTCACCTCCCGTATGCAAACCCAGAGAAGAAGAAGAAGAAGAAGAGGAGGAGATTGGATTTCTACCCAGCCCTTCACTACCTGAAGGTGTCTCAGAGCGGCTCACAAACTCCTTTCCCTTCCCCTCCCCACAACAGACACCCTGTGAGGTAGGTGGGGCTGAGAGAACTCTTGACAGAAACTGCTCTTTTTCAAGAACGGCTCTTGTCAGAACATGGCTTGCCCAAGGTCATCCAGCCAGGTGCAAGTGGAGGAGTGGGGAATCAAAC